GGAGAGAAAGTGCACGGACAGGGCCGGGACCCCGTTCCTCTCCTCTCCCCCACTCCGGGTAGGAGGCCCCGTTCCCAGCAAACCCTGCCTCCTTAGCTCCCTCGTCGCCCCTTGCAAAGGCTCTGCCTCCTCCCTCTTCGCACAACACAGGCTTTCCCCTTGCTCTCCCAGCTCTCTATAGACTCTATTTTTATATCTATTTAAAACATAGAAATGTATAAATATATAGGATATTATTTATAGATATATAGACGTGATTCAATCTCTTACTCTGTGTATACGTACTGCATATGTCCATATGTACAATATATACGCTGTAGCATTTGTATTATACACTGCACATACCCCTGCTTCTATGCACGCTCCCAAGGAGGCTGGATTGCATAGGTATTTCCAGGGCGGTATCACTTGAAGGGATTGGGGTTGGGGGGAGAGCCAGCTGGAAGAGGAGGACTGTACCATTTTCCTCCCCAAAGGGCACTTTTTCTCCCTCTGGCTAACACACAAAGATCACCTCAAAGGCTCCATAAAATATCACAGCTCCACTAGCTCAGCTGAAGGGCCCAGAGCAGAGAGCAGAGAGGGCCCTTCCTCCAAGGAGAAAAAGGGCCCGCATGTCCCTTGACATAATCTTCCCTCCTCAAGGCAGGACTAGAACCTAAGACCCAGCACAGCCTCCAGGAGGCCGGTATCTGGAACAGACCTGTCCCAAGCTCACCTGCCCTCTGATCATGCCTCTCGTTTCCGCAGGCCTGGCCTCCCTGCTTGGGCTGTCCCAGGCCGGCCTGGCTGGACCTGCCACTTGAAAAAGGGAGGGGGTGTGAGGTCTGGTGAGTCTGGAGCCTTCTGCCCAAACTGGGTGTTAGGATCAAGAAAAAGCACGAATCCTACTTGGAAATCAACCCAGACCATAAGCCAATACCAGCACTGGATACAGAATTCCTGTTCCTAGAGGGAGTGAGAGGAAGATGAAGGGGGAAGAACCTAGGAGAGAACTTCCATTTCAACCCCCAGGCCATCTCCTGGACCCCGGGAGGCTCCAGGGGAACAGCTACAATAAAATGACTCCAGCCCCACAGCCAGGCCGGGCTAAGTCTGCAGTCCATTTCAGTCTCTCCATAATCATTTTCAGCGTTCTACATGCTTTTTCCGGTGTTTTTCCTCCCGGTATCACTTCCCAGCACATAGGAAGTATTTAAACCTTACCTTAAATAATTACAAGGTCCTTCCTCCAAATCAAAGGATCAACAGAAGCAAGTCAAAGGGCGGGGGAGGGCTCGGCAAGATGACTCGACACGAAAACATGTAGGAGGGGCTGGGGCCAAGACCCCCAGCTGCCCCGGATTTGGGGCCCAGCACCGAAACCAGCTATCCAGGGATCCTGGGGCTGGAGCCTATTTTCATTCTCCAGCGAGGATGAGGAAATAAGGATCCGACCGGCACTACAGAATAGTGCCATCTGTCATTAAAAAAAAAAAAAAAAGCTGGCGTTTCAGTCAGATGCCTGTACCCACATTCACCCAGGCAGTCAAAACTTAGGGATTCTGACACAGCAAGAACTGTACACAGGACTGGGGTGTCCTCAGGTGTCGCAGATCCTGTAGATGGCAATGGGTCTTTTTCCTCCACGAAGGAGACCCGCACCAATATAATCGCAGGGGCCTCTGGTTCCCAAGCTCTGCAATGTAACAAACAGCTTGGCCCCAGATCTGACCTCACTTCCCATGCCCTCTGGAAGCCAAAGAAAGCCACTGATCAGCCAGCCCAGTTAGGATAAGTCTCAGTCCCAGAGACACAAACATTTTATTCTAAACCAACGGTTATCACTTCTAAACCTGGGGCTGAATTAAAGGGCTCTGTCTTGTCTGAAGCCACCACAGTTGGGGCGCAAGGACCGCCCAGCCAGTTTTCTATACTAGCCAAGTCCGTGCTTCCCTGGACTAGACTCGAAGGGTCCCATCAACTCAAGAGTCCTTCTCAAGAGGCAGAGAGTGGAAAATGCCTGCGATAGGAATCACGGGTAATCACATGCACCATACACAGGACGAAAGTGCTGAGCCTCCTGGGAGCACCCAGGCTGAGAAAAGGCCCTGTGTAAGTTGCAGTGGTGTCGCCCCAATTATTCTCTGGTTACTCCCCATCCCAAGGCAAAGTGGCCTTCAGAGTGTCTGACACGGCCTGGCACCCAGAGTTTGAGAGGCGACTTGCCGAACTTCAAGACCCTCCAGAGGGTTCATCCTCTGCATCCTGGCCCCTAGCTCAGCAAGTGGCCCGATGCTGCTAGCAGCAGCTCATGCTTCTAGCCCAGAGGCAGGTCACTGGCTCCCAGCACTCCCAGAAGGTACGGGGTTGACACTGGCATTGATTGACCCAGGGACTTTTCCCTTGCATAAAAATTGAGCTAAGTTTGACCATGGACTCTTAAGAGGACACATTCGCAGCCCTGACTAGATGCTCAAGCAGAGATTCTCTTCCTGGTTTGTAAAGGAGTGGTTTTTGGGGGGGGGATGACCCTCCATAGAGGGTCCCAGTGTGGAGGGTGGGGAGGGGTGGCGGCAGGGAAAGAGAAGGTGTAAGGCATCTGTTGGCTAGAAGAAAGGATCCCAACCCGCTGTTTCTGCCCCTGCTGAGGCCCACCTTGCCAGCCACCTCTGCCTTCAACCCATCTTAGTCTGTGTGTGTGGTGGGGAGGAAGCTGGGGCAGGAAAGGTGGAACTTTGTGCTTTGCAATAGCGTCCCACTGGACCACAGTCACTGACCTTGATGGGAGGGGTGGGGAGGGGGGAGGAGACCTCAGCTTAAACTGGGGAAGTGGGAGGAGGCTGGGAATTTCAAAGCCTCAGAAAGAGCTTTAGGTCTTTCCTTGTTAATTAATTCCTTCTCTCTCCTTCTGCAGAGGAGGGGGAAGGGGGTGGGGGTTGAGTGTCACCGGGGTGCATTGATTGGTTGAAGAAGGCAGCATATGAGGCCTGGCAGTGGGACAGTTGGAGAAAACCAGGTTTTGTTTTTTGTTTTTTGTTTTTTTTTAACATGCTACATCACTGTTGAAACAAACAAAAAAAAGTTTCAAAAATAATATATAATATATATAATATATTTATATAATGAAAAGCTATCGACTAGCAGCAATGATTCTAAAGTTATCTTAGCACCAAGACCATGGGGGTGGGGGGAAGGACCTGTTGAGGGGTGAAGGGACTGGCAGGACAGGAAGGGGGAGTGACATGTTCAGTGTTGATGACATTTCCACTATGGATCTCTACGGTGGCATGAGTGAGGCCTCAGAGACAAAGTGAACCAAGAAGGAAGGAAGCCACCACAGTTTTATAACGTCTGAGCCAAGCGGGTTGGGGACGCTGGGGCCTTGCCTACGGCCAGATCACAACATCCTTTGCCCACCCTCTGCCAACCGAGAGGGGTGGCTCTCTAGCTGACCACGGACGATGCAGGTCTTCCTCCCTGCCCCAGATAGGACCTGCACCCATGATACAGGATCTCTGCATATCAAATATGCATAAATCAGGTGTGGAAACATGAACAGAAGTTAACAGCTCATGCACATTTTTTAAAAAAAAAAACTCCCTTGCGAGGTATACTGGTAGTTAAATGAATGAGAGGACTGATCTGACTCCTCTAGCTTAAACCACTACTTGCCCCAGGGAGTAGGCAAGTGGCTATTTCTAAAGCTTATAGTGTGTGTGTGTGTGTGTGTGTGTGTGTGTGTGTGTGTGTACGTAGGCTGATGCCTTGAGAGTCCTATTTTACCCCTTGCTTATTCCTTTCTTCTAGGACATCTCTACCCTGTTCAAAAAGGAAGCGTTCACAGGCATAGATGCATCCCCCAGTTCCCCACTACCTTCCTGCCAGGCTGTGGGACTGGTTATCAGCCTGTTGCAGAAAAAGGACTGAATCTCTAGAGACTCTCATTTGCATAATCCAGGGCACAATTTGCATTGACATCTCCTGCTACTGAACTATAGCAGGCATTTCTTGATTATTAAAGGAAAAAAATACCCCCAACACATTATACAATTATAAAGACAGAGTATGAATAATTTATGGAAATTGAATACATATTTTTCATTATATTTGTTTTTAGCCAATAAATCACTGCCCTTTGAGGTCTGGATTTCTTGGCTCTTCATTTCTCCAACAGCCCTGGACTTGAATGGAATTAGATTATTTTATCCCACACCAAGTAAAAAGAGGAATGCAAAATGTTTACCCCCTCTCCCTTCCCCAGGATTTCAAGCTTGGATGTCAGGCAATTTTGCCTTCAGTATTACAGGTAATATCTTTAGGATCCAGGGGGGGCTCGAAGGAGGGAATCAACAACCCAGGGATGGGACTGGCAACAGAGATGGGGAGTCACAGTTTGACCGACACATGTTTCTAAGACAGTGAAGAAACGCTCATCGGGAAATGAATAAAAATCTTTCAAGCAGAAGTCAGGTGGGAGAGAACGTCAAAACACTCGATCCAGACACACAGCCTGCCCTCTGCAAAATCAGAGGTCGCATTCAGCTGGACCAGCATGTCAATGAAGAGGCTGAGAAACCCCCATCATATGGGAAACCAAACATGAAAAGGGAAGGCAAGAACATGAACCCCAACCCATGCCCCTCACCCCCCAAACAAAGACGTGAACAAAAGAAGCTACCTAAAGGCGATGACAGAGACCCGTCATTTTAGCTTATGCTGTTGGTTGACCGTTAGGTGGGAACACGTGTGGCCTCAGCACATGCTTCTGTGAGGGAAAATGAGTTGCCACGGATGTTGCAGCTGCCAAATTTTGTAGACAAGAGTCAGTTTCTGACATTATTCCTTTCTGAAAGCTCCCAGTAGCTTCTGGTAGATGTGTCACCTCGGTTTTAAAAAATTTTTCAGTGTGGGTGTTTATATATATATAATATAATATATATTTATATAATATATCAAAGCTTATGAGTATAGATTAAAAAAATATTCAACAGCTTAGTGACCTCTGTGACACGGGCTCCCTAAATGTCCGGGTAGAACTCTGACCCGTGGTCCACGGTCTGCAGCACCGGCTTCTGCTCCAGTGCAGACATCCTGCTGAGGACCTCGGCAGACAGAGAGTAGCTGTTGCCAGACTTCTCCTCAAACCAGCTGTCCAGAGCTCGCTTGGCGTCAAAGTTGGCAATGGGCGGGCCGTTTACTGCGATTGTCAACAGGTCACTGAGCTGCTCCAGGGTCAGGCGGGAGCGGTGGTTTTTGCGAACTCGCTGCAGGGCATTTCGGCCCTTCTCGCAGCAAGCGGTGGAGGTGGGGAGGACCTTGAGGACCTGGATAATCTTGTTCAAGAGCGGAAACCTCTGTTTGTATTTGCAAACGTGGCCGATCAGGTCTTTGAAGCCATTTTTGGTATAGTAATCGGCCTTAAGTTCTCGCCACTCCATTAACAGACTCCCCCGGGGGTCCAGCCCTTCCCTACAGACATCCCGGGCAAAGGTCGGGATGGCTTCCAGGTGATCGAATATCTGAACCATATCCTCCTTGCCGTAGCTCATGAGCTCCTCACTGTTCCTGGGCCAGGCGGCTAGGTCAAACACCTGGCAGGCCTTCACGAAGATCCGGCTGCGGGAGTCGAACCTCTGAGCCAGGATCACTTGGGTCTTCTGGCAGATCTTCTCCCTGATGGACTGGAACTTGGCTTCGGCCACCCTGAGGTTCTTCATTGCAATCCCATTGAAGCTCTCGCGGAAATTCTCCTCGAACTCCTGCAGGTATTCTCCTGGGCAATCAGCTAGTCGGCTGATCTCCTGGATGGCCTCCTCAATCTTGTCATCCACCTGGGACACCAGGAGGTACTGGCCCTGGAAGACGTAGGCCAGGCGTGAGAGCACAGCGATCACATCCAGAAGGAAGTAGATGAGCTTGATGGACTGGTAGTCCATGAGGAACTGCAGCAAGGCCAGGGCGATGGCCGAGGCATCCGCCCGCTGGGTCTGGCTGCTGACGTCCTTGAGGTGGGCCACCACCTCCAGGTAGTCCTTGATGAGGGCGTTGAGAACATTCTGCTCACCAATGATCCACCTCACGGCCCGGATGTCCCCCAGGAACTCTGTCTCCTCACAGAGGGTGGAGGCTGTGGACCGTAACTCGCACATGAGTCGTGGCGAGTACCTGTAGAAACTCAGCAGCTGCTTCAGATTGTTCTCCAGCTCCTCCAGACAAGGGAGCTCCTTCCCACTGATGGCATCTAGGATTTCCAGGTGGGGCCGGTGCACCATGAAGGGCAGGCACAGCAGCCAGGGCAGCGTCTTGCGGATCGTCATGAACATGCTGGCACGCAGGCTGGCTGTGATGTTGGCCCCATCTATGCCCAAGCCAACAGTTGGCTTTTCATCCTGCAACCGGATGCCCAAGGCAGAAAAGGCTCGATCAAGCGCCTGGAGATAGCTCTCTGTGCTAGAGAACCCTAGTTCCTGCAGGGATAGGAACTCCGTGGCTGGGGGCCCATCGCTGCTGGTGTATTGGACGTAGACAGCCACCGTGTCGGCCAGCAGGTCATCGCTCTGCCCATCCAGGATGATGCTGAGGCAAGGCGACTGGCGGATGCGCTCTACCAGGTCTTCCCGCAGTGCCCGGGCGATGTGATGAATCAGGATCTGGCAGTCTCCCTCGTTCATGTACTGGTCCACCACCTTGAGCTCACACTTCCTCAGGAGCTCAGCCAGGGGCCGGAAGTCCAAGTAGGGCCTGCCCTCGAGGGCCAGGTGGTAGGCAGTATTGAAGAGCAGGGTCATGTTGCGACACATCTCCTCTGTCTTCTCAGGGTGCATGCGAAGCTTGTACAGCTGCAGGCACTTCTTGTGCAGGTTACTCTGGCTGTGCAGTTTGATGGTGTGGATCTTGAACTGCTTGGAGCCGATGATAAAGGCCGAGGTGCGTGAGGACTGCACCGTGTACTGGCGGCAGACGTGGCACCACATCTCGTTGAGGGTCGGGGAGTACCGCAGGAACCAGAACTTCTTCAGCCACTCCTGCTTAAAGCGCCGGATTCGCCGCCCAGTGGCAGACGACATCTTGGAGGGCTCATCGGTGGCAGTCATCATGTCGTTGGACACGGATTCATCTGCTGAATCGACCTCCTGGTCATCATCCTCCATGATGGCGGGGCCAGAGACCATGCTCTCTGAGGCTGGAAGACAAATGCAAAAGAAACATAGACTTTTCTAAAATGAACAGGAAACACTGCCTGGAAGGTAGGTGCCACACTATATGAAACATAAGCCAATTCCTACAATGGACTGACTCTCATTTATATTCATATTTGTCTATGTGTGACTTTCCCTCTTGTGGATTATCCGTGGTGGACACCAGGCTCCAGGTTTCCTGTCCTCACTCTCCACTAGTGGGCGCTCAAAGAACTTCAATGTTCAGTATCAACTGACCAGTGCGGCCAGGAGAGGAAGAATAACATCAAACATCCCCAAGTGAGAGAGCAAGGACATGGGACTCATATGTCCCACCGCCAGCATGGTCAGGGGTGGTGTGCTACCCTCAAATGGAGGCATGGCCCTCGGTTATTTCAGGATCAGAACACTGCCTAATTCAGATGCATGCTTTGATTATCTGAAACACCTCATTCTGAGCTAAGGGATGTTGTTAAAATAGAAAGTGCTAAGTAAATACTCTAAGTCAGCTGCAGATGTGTACTGAAAAACCTTCCTCGTTGTCAACCGGCTCTAAGACATCCAGGCAGCCATAGAAACAGACGGAAGCATGCAGCTGAAAGCCCGGGGTCCAGGTCCTTGTAAGACCCCAGGCAGGGAGAGGGGACCATGTGGCAGAACAGCAAGTCGGGAAGAGAAGAATGAGGCTGTGTTCCTGGGCTGAGTTTGGGAAGGCCGGGAGCTGTCCCTGACAGGGCAGCATGCTTGGGACTGGGCAGAAAGGTCGGCTTTGGGAGTTGGGCTTTGGGGTCAGACACCACTAGGACCACCAGAGAAAGGCAACAGGTCAAGAACACAGCACACACCCCTTCTGCAGCGGAATGTCCTTTATTGATGAGGAGAATACAGGGGAAGACATGAAGCACCCACCGGAGCTGCAAAGCGACCAGTCAGAGACAGGCACCCGAGGGCACGGACTGTGGCCAGAGCTCACCTCCGAGTCACACGCCCCAGGTTTCCCCGAAGGTGGCTCCGGCAGAGAGCACCAGGCCACCTTCATACTGCCCACCGTGTGCTCTTCCGCCTGACAATGTCTCATCCACACCAACTTACCTGTGGGGTCTGAGAACTCTGGGAGCTCCAGTACCTGTGCTGGCAATACAGGGGGCTCAGGAAGCTTCCCAGACTTAAGCATGTCTAGTTCTGCCTGGAGTTCCCGAACCTTCTTCTTTAGGCGAATACAATTAGGGCAAAAGGAGGTGGTGGGAAGCTCATGAGGGTCAGATGCAAGAGAGGCCTCAGCCGGACTGTCGGCCTTGAATGACGAAGGTTCCTCTTCTTCATCTTCCAAAGGGCCTGGCTCCGTAGAAGCAGCCCCCTGGGGGGTCTTCCAGTCCCCTTCCCCCTGAGTCCTGCTGACATTCTGCACACCATGAGACATGGTCACTGCACACCGACCGTAGGCATCGCCCTGGTGTTTGGGGACCTTCCTGATGACCAGCGAAGTGCTCAGTGCCAGCTGGTGGGCTTCCACCTTTGCGGATTCCAGTGAGGCCTCCAACACGTCCTTGAAAATGAGGTCAATTTTCTTCTTCTTGGTCTGAGGGTGCATGTCCCCCTCGTCAAAGCCGCGCTTGTAGGGACTTTTGCCCTGTCTCAGCACGGGGAGGTGAATGGGACCCCTCAGGTCCTCTGGGTCATCCAGAGCCTGCTCAGCCTTCTCCCTCTGCAACCGCTTCTCTCCTAGGAAGGAAAACCAGGGTGTGAGGATGCGGGGAAAAGCCCCAAGTGGAGAAACAGGCAGAAAACAAAGCAGGCCTCCAGGTAGGGAGTCGCTTGACACATCCCTCGGGGTTTGGCCTCGTGGGGCATGTGTGACGAAAGGGAGAGGCGGATCGCTCGGTAGATCATGGGGTCATAGGACCCCCCAAAAGCAGGAAGAACTCTTTTTAAAGAGGCTGATTCCATGGAGCCTTATGTAGACAAGCTCTATACTTATGAGTTGAGAGACTGCTATGGGGGAGGGTAGTTGGAAGTTCTTTCAAAGGTTCTTGCCACCCCATCATCCTAGAAGATCTCTTACTCGATCAAATGGTGGGGGGTGGCATTCCTGAGAGTTAAATGCAGATAGAGGCCCCACCCCGCCAGGCTTCTCATCCAGTCCTAGCAATTAGATGGCTGCTTCGACTTGGTAAAAGGTACACATGAAATACCGAGTCCCATCCTTCCTCCTCCCTCACACAGCCCACTTAGGGCAAAGTCCGCCTATAGCAATTGGCCTAATTCTTCCAGTAGTCAGGAAACGAGGAGTACGTGAGAAACATGACGACGAAGGCAGGAGGAGAGCGCAAGACGGGGACACCTTCTGCAGCTGGGGCTCCAAGACGGCAGCCTCCAGCAAGGTAAAGCACGGCGTGACCACACGGACCCAAAGCATGCTCAAAACACAGCTGTTTCCTCACCTAAGAATGCAAATAACGTTTCCTTTTCTATTTCTTTCTATCATGTCAGTGACTTAAAAATACTTTGGTGAGCTTCCTAACAATAAATTATTTTATCTAGATTCTTTAAAATGGCTGACATGGTTTCATAAATTGTTAAAGAATTGTGAACCCTCAGAAGGTCCTGACAGCAGCCTGTGGAGCTAGGAAATCTTAAAGCCTTCCTAGATCAGGGACGGGCCCTGGGAGATGTGACTCTGAGCAGACTTAACCTGTTCATGTGTTGTAATTAGGCTTCTGATAGCTGCATTTGCTAAAGGCCTCCAAGGAAAGGCCAAGGGGTCTCCATGTGCCAACCAGGTGGTCCATGCTGTGACCAAGCCTTGGCTTCCCACAGCTGGCATGGGGTGCTGTGCCTTGGCCAATGTGTGACTCTGGATTTCCTATAGGTAACAGCACAAAACAAGTGACTTGTTTGGGATGCCCCTTTTGCGTCTTCACATGAAAGCTTAGGGCATGGTATTATCTGCAAGCCTCCTGAAACTCAGGTGAATCAGCACAGATGGCATTTCTATAACAGCTGAAGGGCACATAGGGTGAAGATGAACAGAACTTTTTTAAAAAATGCAACATGTTTGTGCAGATTAGCTATGACACTTGCCCATTCATAATTTCTAAACGGCCACCTTTTCACTTTCTTGTGGGCCAAGCAGGCAGCAGGCACCTGAGGACGTCTCGAGATCAAGAGTATTCATCACCAGGGATTCTTCATGCTACTCTGCTCAGAGACAAGGAGGCCTCTTTGGACTCAAGACTTCTAGAAAAATCTATGGGTCAAAAAAGACCTTGAAGCATTATGAAATTGATTCGAAAGCCTCCATAAAACACAGGGAAAACACCACAAAGTGAATCAATGACTCAAAGTAGATCAAATAACAAATTCTTTGAATACATGCATTAGGAGCATCCTATTCTTAAAAGATAGCCACAAAGAAATAATTTATACTCTCTTCAGGAAGCAGGACTAATAATTCATGCACTGGCCTTTATCAGGGCTCCTGCCTCCAATTATGAAGAAGCCTCCTTCTATGTAAGACCTTAAGTGATTGAGCGCGGGGGTCCCCCTTCCAGAGCAGGACCGGAATGCTGATCGAAGATACCAGCTACTTGTTTCCAGTCTGCCAAAGCTACAGGCTACAGAGACACTACATGCAAAGGCCACAGAGCTCCAGAATGTTCCCAAGGACTTCAGGGCCAAGCCCACCCTCTGCTCTAGCCCTGCCCCAAGGTGGCTGTCCATTTCCTTCCTGTTTCCTAGTTCTCCACCTGGCCAGGAATAGACACTCCTTCCTCCTATATCTTCATATGTCTAGGTGTATCTCATGTCAAGTCTCTGCCATGCTCCCTTGAACCACTCCTGAAAGCTCACTCCCTTCTCTGAGCATTCCTCTTGGGTCTCAGGACTCCCTGAGGATGATGCAGCTTGAAGTGCTTTGAAGAAGACTCTGGGGAAAAAAGGACATTACAAATCCAGAAGAATTCAAGAAGATTACGGCCAAAGGATGGAACCTGTGTCCTCAGATATGACTTCTCTTGGTTTCTTTTTCTTCTGGTGACATGATTCTTTCGGAGACTTCTTGGCTGTCTTCATTCACTTCTTCTTTTATCCAGTCAACAAAGATTGAGCACCTACTATGTGTCAGATGCTTTTACACGAGGCATCTCCAGAGATCAAATGGAAACCATGGAACTCTCATCATGGAAACATGCCTTCCTGGGTGAAATCGGCATGTGCCCAACCCCAAGATCCGAAGAAGACAAGAGATGAGTATGTCTAGTGGGTGTCCTCTCATTGCCCATCCAATCACCAGATACCTTTTACCAAGTCAGGCAGCCGCTGTGCACTCAATGTCCACAATCTGCTTTGTTGGGTTTGTTTTTAAAGATAGCTTAATTTCAGTGGGCCATTCCCACCCCTTCTCATCTTCTCCACTCATATTCCAAATGAAGCTCTATTTCCAAGAAGTAGGTTGGCTGGGGATATAGTATAGTGGGGCTTGGGGCTAGCCTTGCTTTCTGAAACCAGATGGATTCTCGGTCTTTGGATGTACGGTTTTAGTGTAAGGCAGGTCCCACGGAAAGAAGGACCTGCACTCACCAGTTTGCCCCCAGCCAGGATGAGGGCAGAGTAGAGAGGCAAAGGCCTAATACTGGGAATATTTTAAGCCACTTTCACATGACTCGTTTAGATGGAGTCTGGATGGACATCTCACCCACCAGGCCATCATCCACACCTAAGGTCACCTTCCTTCAACCTTCTTGTTTTAATAGCTACCGTCCTTTCACAACACAGCATTGGGACTTCCAGGAATGAAACCAGGAGGAAGCAGGAAAGAGAAACCAGTTTTGTGTGGGAGACCATATAACATTATGGGTTACAGCTTAGACCCTGGACTCAGATATGAGTTAGAAACCCAGCTGTGCCCTGTCTCCCCACACGACCCTGGGTGAGTCGCTGTATTTATCTGATGCTCAGTTTCTGCATTTGCAAGATGGGGATAATCATCTACATGAATCACTACTATTAACAGTCTACAAATGAGGGCCTACAATGGTCAAGGTAGACATTGTTCTATATGTGTATTATCCAGCTAATTCTCTCAGCACAGGTACAAAATAGGTGTTATGGTTGTCATAATTTCTTAGGACACCATGGAGCACCTGCTTACTACATATTAAATCCTTAGTAAATGTTACCAATTATTGCAGCAGTGGCAGTTTATAATATCTTTCCATCAATATGAGGGGAAATAGGATCAATTTTTACTGAATTTATGAGCATGGCTTTGGGGACTTGCCTCTCTCCCTGATACTCTAGAATGTATAATAACACATTTATATGTAATAGGGTTTCTGAGACGGTTTCTCATGGAGGATAAGTGGTGCCCAAGGCCTTGCCCAGAGCTGCTGCTCAGACCTGGGCCATCTGTTCACCCTCTGGGTCTCCCCACGGGTGGTGTACTGTATTTTCCAATTGTTTTTTTAAGACGCTTCTAGAAAAGCATTCCTGGCTTCCCTTGGGGCTTGGTGGCGGCGGGCATGGCCCTCACCTGGAGAGTGGGCACTCACCTCTGGCCAGATTGCGATGGATGGTTTCCTGGGACATGCTGTGCAGGCGCTTCATATAGTCCTCGCTGTACCAAACCCGCAGCCGCTCCCCAGGCCGGATGTCCCGACACGCCCGGAAGTAGATGTGCTCGCTGTGTTGGAACGCCAGCAGGTTCTGCTCCCTCTCCTCCCGGGAGATGACCACGTATCTGGGGGCGAGGGGGCACAGGTGAGAATGCATGGGTCACTCCTTGGCCAATGCCTGCTGGTGCTGGGCACAATGTGGAGTCAGTGACAGTGGTTAAAAGTCCACCAGCATGTGGACTTGTGCAAAAGTCGACAGGCAGCTGCCCTACCAAGGAAGAGACTGCCAGGTAGAGTCAGCCCCTTGTCTCAACATCACTGTTTTGTGTGACCTTGAGCGGGTCTCTGAACCTTTAAGAATCTCCATTTTCTGAGACTGGAAATGATACCTGCCCTGTGTGCCTCCCAGGTTCTGCTAAGTGTAAGATTCAACGCCAGATAGAAAGGTGATTGGAAAACTGATGGATCATCTGCTCTCCACTAACTTTTAACCCCAGGGGCCTCTGATAATAGTGAGGGTGGCATCTTTGAATGGTTTCAGTATTTCATAAAACCTAGCAGAAATAACCCATGTGACAAGGGTGCCCAAGAGAGCAATAAATATCTGCTAAAGATCAAAATCTTTAAAAATATAGGCTCCCGTGGGGACAGATGAAAATGGTAAGGAAAAGCTGGCAACTGCTGGTTAATCTAAGTTATTTTAAGGTAAGGAAACTGAGGCTCAGAGAGGCTGTGACTTGCCCACGGTCGCACAGTTAAAAAAATGGGAGATGGAGCTTTGAGGTCAATGCTTTTCCCACGAGAAGGCATGGCTCCTACGTGGGCACGTAGAGCGCCCTCTCAGCACTGCCCAGATAATCTTTAAAGTTCTGTCAAACCCTCAGAACCTGTGGCCCTCACCCCTTCTCCCTGAAATGACAGTCCTAGTAGTCAGACTGTCACCTCACTCACCTCCGAATGGAGAGATGGCACAACATCTGCAGAGAGGCAGAGGCGTATAGATTAAAAGGGCAAGAGGATACTATTTGGAATGTTAGCGTTCTGGGCTACACCAGTGTCTAGGAAATTTGTAGTCAAAAATAAACATTTTTTCCTTATGCTATGATGGTTAGTCTCAAAAGCCAGGGAAGTAACCGAAATCTGTCCAACTGGCAAGGTCCAAAGAATTACATTTGAAGCAGTCGGGAAAACAATAATTCACAGAAAAAAACCCCAATGGATAATGAACACATGAAAAATATCCAGTATCGGTAATAGGAAATGCAAAATAGCACATTTTGCAGAGTAGCTCATTGGCATAGATTTTTTTTTTTAATGATACCATCAGTATTGGTAAAGGTGGTGGCAAAAGGGTCTCTATACAAATGGTGATGAATCAACTGGCACAACCCTTTGGGAAGCAGCTGGCCATATGGACTCAAAGAAGTATTTGTATCTCCATGATCATAGCAGCACTATTCACAATAGTCAAAATGTGGACGCAGCCCAAGTGTCCATTAATGGGTGAATTAAACCAAGTGTGGTAGAGACACACTGAATATTATTCAGCCATCCATAGGAAGGAAATTCTGACATATGCTACATGGGTGAACCTTGATGACACATGCTAAGTGAAATAAGCCAGTCACAAAATGACAAACACTGTATGATCCCACTCATATGAGGTACTTATAGGAGTAGTCAAAGTCATAGAGACAGAAAGTAGAATGGTGGCTGCCAGAGGCCCAGGGAGCAAGCGGGGCTCAGGGAGCCAGGAATGGGGGTTTAATGTTTAATGGGTGAGAGTTTAGTGGGCAGCCAGGTGGGGAGATGAAAAGCGCCCTGGAAATGGATGGCGGCGATGGCTGCACAACAATGGCAACGCGCTTAATGCCAATGGGCTGCACACGTAAAATGGGTAAAATGGTAAATTTTATGTTATGTGTATTTTGCCACAATTTTTGAAAAATTTTAAAAAAGAACAATAACATGCAGGCCAAATATGCAAACTCTGCATACCACAACGCTGCCTAAATATCGTTTATGATCGTGCACAAGCAAAAACATCTAAATGTCTAATACTAGAGGAACAGTTTAACAAGCCCTGGTGTATTCATATAGTGGAATGTTACTCTTCCAGAGAAAAAGGTTCTGAAAGGATCTTTCATGACGTGGAAAAATGGTCCTGATTTAATGCAGGGCAAACAATAGATCTGAAAGCTATTTGTCCTATGGTCCCATCACGCTTTAAAAATGAGCCTCAGTAAACTACCTGAACCAAATATATCAAAGTTTTACAGTGATTATCCATTATAGGTGGATCCACTTCTTTATAATTTTCTGTACTTTCCAAGTTTTCCTTAGTAAACAATTGTTAATGTTACTCCCACTCCCTAAAAAAAGAAGCAATGTACATAGATGCCAATTCCAGTGTCAGGTAGCAGTGGTGGCCTTACTGGCAGCCAGCAGCATTGCGACTGCCACTTGCGGTGCCCTAGGCATAGCCCGCTTCAAGTACATCCTGCCCTTTCTTATCTGGAGAGTCCCTTGTGCACTCTACTCTGCTCAGCCTTGCAGGACACTGTGATGAGGGCAACCCCTCGAGCCCAGGGACCAATCCATTGTGGCAACTGGGTGTTGCACAGACCCCAGGAGGATGGGAAAGAGGCCACTAGCTTTGGCTGCTTCACCCATGCGAGGGAGGCCAGTCATGAGCTCCACCTGGAAGGTGTGGAGCATGCAACATTCATGGCGCTTAGCTCCCTAGATCTTTGGTCCAGGATCTTAGCCTTAACGCATCTGTGTTCTCGTCAACATCCAACATGAGTGTGTGTCTTCCTGAACCGTGAAGACAATACTGTGACCTCTGGACACCCAGCCATATTGTTATTAACAAAGAATTCAGGGAAAAGGAAAAGAGGACCCCTGGCCCAGAGAACTCTTTCCAAATAAATACTTCCCAACCTTAACTCTCCAATTGCAGGAGTCTGCCTTTTCTCTATATCTCACATGTCTTCTGAGTGCGCAAAATATTTTCTAGCCCCCAATTTAACATGAGTCTTCAATTTGACACCCAAACTTAATCAGCCTTGTGGTTAGCACAGAACAGAGCTGAGGTGGATCCAAACTTTCCTACTCCCAGGTACAGAGGGCAAACCGTCCATTCATCTTTCTGTTCACAGGAATCACTCGCAAGAATACAGTGTTCTCTTCTTTCCATTTCTAAATAGCCATCAAGCTCTAAGGACTGCAATCATTCTTCCCTAGCACTCAACTTGCAGAAGAAAAGAGAGGAGGAACACATAACTAGCGGAGATTTATTCTACAGAGCAACTTCTAAAGTCAGAACGTTTAGAAGGATTCAAATCAATTTCCCTTTCCACCTCCTGGAGTTTTTCTACTCAACAAAAATTGATGTTTAGGAAGAGAACCCCAAATCCTTTTATCGATCACAATGTAGCTTCAAAGACAGATCTGATTTTGTTCCACATCTGGTTGTCTTTGGTTGTTTTGAAGCTAGGCATTTGAAATATGATATACACGACAACCCTTAGTGTATCGTAACAACCGTTCCCCTGAGAAGATGATTATGCCGTATGATTTCTGAGGTCAAGCTAAGTGGAGCCAGCTCAGTCTCAACATCAATTACTGTACCTCAAGCAGGTCTTGCCCTTTAAAGTATTTCACAGTACCACCCAATGGCTGATCCACTCCCAGAACCCTCCTGTCCCCACAAACAATCCCTTTACGAAAACCCATGCCTGTCCCATTCCATGGCCGCCGGTAAGCAAGAGCCCTCCCTGGAATAGGTCACTACCTTGTTGGAGAGAAGGCACGGACTGTGTTGGAAACTGCCCAACACACATTGCTCTGCAAATGACAGTGCTCATTTGATAGCATTTCAAATCAAAGCCACACAGTTGGGGACTTTTGAAACAATCGAAGGGGTGGGTGGTAGTGGTGGGGGTATGTTCTGGACTGAACCTTTTCAAGATGCAAGTGGATTGTTTTTATTCTGACCTCCTCGCTGACTCTGGGTGCGGGAGAGGACCCAAGACCATACTTCTCAGGCCTTACCCACTGTGTCTTATCAAGTGCGCCATATTTTCTCCCTGGGTGAGGAAATGACTACCAGTTCTAACTCAAGAGAGAGAATAACCCACGGGGCATTCATTGTGTTGGAAGGGACAGCGGAAGGCCTGGCTCAGACACTCCTGCTCAGCGGCTATGTCTCCGATGGCAAGGAAGCTGTTTGTCAGGGAGGCAGACATGGGGAATGACTGACCAAGGAGAGGGTGGACTCTGTGTTCCCACATGCATTTAGGTCTCTGGGCTCGGAGGGACTTTGGATCATGCATCCACCCACCACATGGTCACTAGGCCTCTGAATAAACATCACCCAGCTGGCCCCTGGCATAACTGGAAGCCTCGAACTCCTAGAAGGGCTTTTCCTATCTCAAGCTGCAATTGGCTGCCCATTCATTTCCATCCACTGGCCCCATTCCATCTTCCTATTTTGACATGCTAGCCCCACCATCCCCACTGAAGCCAAGAGAAACTAAAATCTTTTCCATCCGAAGTTGACAAGTCTTTTCATCTCTCTGTCCCCTTTGCTTCCAATTTGCCCCTTCCCTCCTCAGGACCAGAGGGGGAGGCCAGTCAGTCACTGCTTAGCACCTTGACCTTGGTGGGAAAGACCCCAGGCCCGATTTCACACCATCTTTGCATCTCCTGGAAATGGTATTGTCTTGATTTCATGGCCATGCTTTTTGGCCAAGAACAGCAAAGGATGACCTAGATTCCAATGGAACCTTCCAGAAAGGGGGTGTATTCTTGGTCAGGACCTGGGGCTTCCTGCTTGGGAGGGTCTCCCTGTGTGACTGCACTAGGTCAAGGCAATGCACATGTCAGGAGGTCCCCTCCCTGCTGAGGAGACCCCACAAGAGCAGCCAGAGGAAGCCACTTCAGCTCCTTTGAGAAGCTTCATTCTAGGTGGGCAGGGCCTTGCCTGTGTTAGATACCTGGATCAGTGGGGAGGTTGCCGGAAAAAAAGTTCATGCTTCAGGGTGATATCTGGGGTATATGGCAAATGGACAGCACCTGAGTCTTCTGGAGCCTCCTACCAGAAATGGTGACTTTTTTTCCC